TCGTTTTTTGAAGTAGGAGAAATTGGCTTTCCCGTTTAAGAGAAATCAGATGTTGTCTGTGTCTCTAAACAAAAACCTAGCGGTGGGACAAATGTATGTCTCACCGTTGAAATGTGCTTTGACGACAAATTGTGGTGCAGAGGCCATTGCGTAGAATTGTTTGAAGGTTTGAAGGTTGGAATGTTTGAATTTTATGAGTGATTCGAAGGTTGGAATGTTTGAAGTTTATTGATTGTATGAAGCTTAGAATGCTGTAAGGTTTGAAGGTTGGAATGTTTGAACTTTATGAGTTATTCAAAAGTTTATATGTTTGATTGTTTGAAGGTTTGAAGGTTTGATTGTACGAACGTTTGAAGGTTGGAAGATTTGACAGATTAAGTGAATCAATGTTATGATAAACGTAAGACTAAAAATTTCAATTAAGTAAGGATGCAACCCCCAAGGCTGCCAATAGTGTTACATGCAGGGCATCCCAAAGGCTGTCACGTAGCCTGAGCCTAGCCTGCAACAAAGGACACCTCTTATTCGCCAATTGGGGTGGCGACACCATTCATTTTTGTACTCTTTCGCCAAGTCCAATGGCGCCTCCCTTACTGTCCAATCGTGATACATGCATGCAGATATGTAACCCCCTAGGCTGCCACCTAGCCTGCGCCTACTCTGCACCTATACTGTATGTTGTAAGTCTCCTCCCATCACCTCCAATGGGGTTACATGCATTCAGGCAAGGCATCCCAAAGGTTGTGACGTAGCCTGAGCCTAGCCTGCAACAAAGGACACCTCTTATTCGCCAATTGGGGTGGCGACACCATTCATTTTTATACTCTTTCGCCAAGTCCAATGGCACCTCCCTTACTGTCCAATCGTGATACATGCATGCAGATATGTAACCCCCTAGGCTGCCACCTAGCCTGCGCCTACTCTGCACCTATACTGTATGTTGTAAGTCTCCTCCCATCACCTCCAATGGGGTTACATACATTCAGGCAAGGCATCCCAAAGGCTGTCACGTAGCCTGAGCCTAGCCTACAACAAATGACACCTCTTATTCACCAATTGGGGTGGCGACACCATTCATTTTTGTACTCTTTCGCCAAGTCCAATGGCGCCTCCCTTAATGTTCAATCGTGATACATGCATGCAGATATGTAACCCCCTAGGCTGCCACCTAGCCTGCGCCTACTCTGCACCTATACTGTATGTTGTAAGTCTCCTCCCATCACCTCCAATGGGGTTACATGCATTCAGGCAAGGCATCCCAAAGGCTGTCACGTAGCCTGAGCCTAGCCTGCAACAAAGGACACCTCTTATTCGCCAATTGGGGTGGCGACACCATTCATTTTTGTACTCTTTCGCTAAGTCCAATGGCGCCTCCCTTACTGTCCAATCGTGATACATGCATGCAGATATGTAACCCCCTAGGCTGCCACCTAGCCTGCGCCTACTCTGCACCTATACTGTATGTTGTAAGTCTCCTCCCATCACCTCCAATGGGGTTACATGCATTCAGGCAAGGCATCCCAAAGGCTGTCACGTAGCCTGAGCCTAGCCTGCAACAAAGGACACCTCTTATTCGCCAATTGGGGTGGCAACACCATTCATTTTTGTACTCTTTCGCCAAGTCCAATGGCGCCTCCCTTACTGTCCAATCGTGATACATGCATGCAGATATGTAACCCCCTAGGCTGCCACCTAGCCTGCGCCTACTCTGCACCTATACTGTATGTTGTAAGTCTCCTCCCATAACCTCCAATAGGGTTACATGCATTCAGGCATGGCATCCCAAAGGTTGTCACGTAGCCTGAGCCTAGCCTGCAACAAAGGACACCTCTTATTCGCCAATTGGGATGGCGACACCATTCATTTTTGTACTCTTTCGCCAAGTCCAATGGCGCCTCCCTTACTGTCCAATCGTGATACATCCTTAGGCTGCCACCTAGCCTGCAAGAGTGACACCTTTCATTTTTTGTACATGCATGCATGTATATATGTAACCCCCTAGGCTGCCACCTAGTCTGCAAGAGTGACACTTCGCATGCATGCAAGCACCAGCAACCACTATATGAATTTTTTTTGCCTATAAATACATACCATAACATACATCTCTCACACCCACACAAGTCTCACTCTCTGCTACGAAATCTTTCATAATCTCTTACACTTTCTAAGTCTTTCATACTCTCTATCTCTTCTTAAGTCTTTCATAATCTCAAGCATTTTAAACAATGGCTCTTCTAACAATGGGCAATACTCACAGAGGCACAAGGGAAAACATTGTCGCATTTGTAAGTTTCTATTTTGGTTATACATTTTTTATACTTCAGATAATGCTTTGTTCGTCTTACTTAATCTTACACCTTTTACATTATGAACTCAGGACACAAAAAGATTCAGAATCCGTTCTCACAACTACTTGGCTCCCGACCCATTTATCGTACCATATCTGGAATACGCAGGTTTTGGACATGTCATAAAGATCTCCAACAGCACCATTGACTCGAAGTTCATTCTTGCAATGTTGGAAAGGTGGAGACCAGAGACCCATACATTTCACCTACCAATAGGTGAATGTACCATCACGCTAGAGGATGTGTACATGCTACTAGGTCTCCCTGTCGACGGTAAGGCCGTGAACGGGTCGGTTCAACAACCCAACTCTCAGTGTGAAGAACTGTTGGGCAGGGATATGGTAGAAGGTGGTGGTGCGAGAGGTAAGGGAATACTACTCACTGAGCTGAAAAGTCATTATGCAAGTTTGGAATTAAAAGAAAATTCCTTCGAGCAAGACAGGGTAGTAAAATCCAGAACTTATCTTATGATACTATTTGGTACCTTTTTATTTCCCGAAAGTACGGGAAATAGTGTAAATTTTATGTATTTACATTTACTAAGAAATTTTGAAAAAACAAGAAAATATAGTTGGGGTTCTGCAGTTTTAGCCCACCTATACAGTTCCTTGTGCAAAAATGCAGTCAAGGAAAAATGTACATTTTATGGGTGTGCTTTTTTACTACAAGCCTGGGGTTGGTGGAGGATGGAGTCCTTAAACCCCGTCAACAACAACACTTTCGGTTTCCCGTATGCAACAAAGTAAGTCATCAAGTTATATCATTTATTACTATTCATCTCTTCCCCAAATATATGCTAAGAATAAAATGTTTTTCATTTCCTTTAGGTACTGCGTGAGGGGTATGGATTACGGCAAGAATCCAAGATTCAATGTCGCACTATACCGCAATCTGTTGGATCACTTAGGCCCGGATGACGTACGTCGTAGCTTTTAACTTTTCTTCATTTAAATTATTTATACATTACTTTTGCGTTAACCTTATTTAAATTTTGTCGCAGTTCGTCTGGAGACCATATTTGGGTTTGGGCCATGATCTAAACCCAGAGGATGCATCAACTTGGACCGCGAAGACTGCAATCATTCGGTTCAACATTGTGGAGATGCACCACAGCGACCGTGTGAAGATGCAGTTCGGAATACATCAAGAGATACTAAGTGATCCAACTTGTTTGTCCCCATGGCATCTTAAAAGGGTCGACGCCCAGTGGGGTCTTACCAACTGGAAAGACTTCACTCCGGAATGGTGTAAGATGTGGCAGAGGCGTCACCGCTATGTCTTGCAATTCCCGGTTTTCCTTAATCAAGATAATATGCGACACACGGATCAATATTTGTCTTGGTACAGGTCGGTTAGTAACCCTGAAATGCACGTGTCTCATCCAAGGTACTTGGTTGACCCACGCACACAATGGGCACAACCCTCGTTTCCCCAACAACAAACCCAAAACCCATCAACCTCCCACCAACCCCAAGAAGAAATAGACCCACAAACACCCAACCACAGTCCCCACCACAACAAAATTACACTCAAATGCCACACAACCAACCACAATCACCACCATACTACCAATACCCCGATATGCCTCACACCCAACCACAATACCAATCACAATACCAGCACACCCGCATACTCCACACACAATTTCAGTCTTCCGTATATCCCAATATGGGCCCTTCAACATCCAGCCTTAGCCCTGATATGGGAATGTCAGAAGATTACGAACAAACCGACCCAGCCTACCATCAACCACAATATCACCAAACCACCCAACATCCTCAATACCAAACACCCCAAGATCCATTTCCTTTCTACCCACCGTACTCAGACGATCAATGCTATAGACCCACTATGGAACCCCACCCACCGCCAACACGACCAAACTTTGAGGGTATGGGTAACCGACTGTACCAAAGCGGATCTTCTAGATATGGAGATCTGGCTGATTTTATAGATCCGGACCGCATTGACTTCGCTGAGCCATCGACCCTGCCGCAGCAGGAAACGCGACGACACCAAACTTATCTGTTTTTTTTTTCTGTATTTTTTTATTCGTTTTTTTATCTATTTTTTTATCTGTTATTTTAATGTAATACAGTTGGATGTAATTATTATTTTTTTAATAAAAAGTCCATTTTGTTGATCCTGTATCCAACACGCAACGCACCGGACAAAAAAAATCAAAATTTTCTCTAAAATAACACTTATACGCCATCTCATTTGGCTTAGGGCATGCCCTAAACACATAGGCGCCAAGTGAGATGGCGCCTCCCTTTAAAAAATGGGTGCATGCGCCAATTCAGATGGCTCCTCCTTTGGAGAGTAATCTGAAACATGGTTATTTGCGTAATTTTTTCTGAAATACAGTTATTTACGAATTTTTTTTTTAATACATAATTATTCAAAAAAAAATTCAAATAAATGAGCTAGGGGTGCGGATTATATAATTTTGGGGTGAGAGTTAGTAACACGTAGAAGCTAGGCCCAAACACCTATATTGCAACTAACTTAGTTTCTACAAAAAAATAAACTAAAATAATACAACTACTGGGGAACCGATACACTCTATAATCACTACCCCATTCCTGATTTGATTAAAATATTTCCAAATCATTTCTCCAAACCAATGAAACATTGACACTTAGCCATTAACTAAAAAAACAAAACAAAAAACAATATAACAACACACCAAGGTAAGTGTGCGGTAGGAGCGGCGGAGGTACGATGACGGTTGATCTTTGTGGTTGAGATTGAGGCGCGGTGTTGGGCGATGGAACATATGGTGCTTCGCGTCAGTTGTTTCGGACTGTGATGGGGTGGATGTCGTGGGCGGTTTGACTGAATTATGGTACGGGGTCGCGGAAGAAGCATCCACGGACGGTCTATGCTGCGCGGCTGAGACGTTGGAACTGGAGGTTGTTGTTCATCGATTTTCGACCTTCTTTTCCTTCCTTTTTCCCAATTTGAAACATTCTTACTTTTCTTCTTTCTATTATTGCAAAACGAGAATAGTTATACCGAGTTGTGAACCAAAAGTTATTATTCTGTTTGTGACCATGGCTTTGGAAAAAGTTAGCGATGATGATGATTTTGTAGGTTGGTTTGATATGTGAAAATATAATGTGTGAATGGTTAGAAGTGCGTGTGGTGTGTATGTACCTGAGACAAAAATATTTACAGTAGGAAAAATATGCATACAATGATTTGTTGAAGCGATTAGGAAATATGTTTAGAAAAACTTGGATGAATTTTGTACATGAGAAACTTTGTAAACACCGAAAATAATGGGAAGGAAAAGAAATTTATTGAGTTAATAGGTGTATCGTGAATATGAATTAGTGGTCTCTTAGAAAAATTATTAGTATAAAAATATAATTTTAAAAATAAATAACCGTCAGATAATCATCATTCGATTCAGACAACAGACAAATAAAAGTTAATGAATTGAAAATAAAAAGGGAGGCCTCGTAAGTGTCACATAAGAGGTTTGAACCCGAGAGGAGAGGTTTGAACCCACGACCTCATACATGCAAACTTCATTCCTTACCAATTGTGCTATGTTACTCATTTAAAATGATAAACTCAATTGAATGTATATTGTTCTGGACTGGGCCCGGGTTGGCCCAAGAACAAGGACAATGCCCAACCCAAACAATTCTACAAGGAGCGCGTCAACCAGAAGCTACAGCCGTGCTCGCCGCTGCCCGCGGGCACGACGTCCTCGACCACATACAATTCAGCTCGAGTCCAGCTCGAACACCCTCCTCGTAGGGCAGACTATGACCGTTACTCCATCACCTGAACTCCGGAAAGACCGCGTCCCCGTTCGTCCGTACTTCTCGCTGAGCATCACCAGGAAGGGGACCACGTGCGGGTCCCCACTACACACGTAGAACCTGTCAGTTCTTTTATTGGGCCAGTCCTGGTCGGCCCAACAAAGGGACCTTGGCCCTGCGCTGGGGGCTATAAATACCCTCTATTCCTAGAGGGTCAGGTATTCATTCTCTTACCCATATACACACTTTTTGCCTGCTCGTACTACCACTCACTTTAGCATCGGAGTGCCTTGCAGGTACCCCCCCCCCCCCCCATCTCGTTCAACTTCAGCTCGGAGCCAGTCGTGACGGTCCAAGTCTGATCTGGTAAGATCAGTGGCGCCGTATGTGGGAATCTAGCTTCCCCGTCTTGCAAGAACTCGAAGACCAAAGCTCAACTCAACGATCACCGTCATGGCTGACCAAGTTCGTGATGAACAAAACACCCGCGTCGTTGACACCAACAACGGCCTCGCGGATAAAAATGGACACCCTGATAACGCCGGCAACCCCGGTCATAACACCATCCCTGTGTCGACCACCCCCGGTCCCTCAATCCACCGCGACGGAGTTACTGCATCGTCCTCCTCGGTCCCTCCGCCGCTCGAAGAAGACAATGCAGCTCTTACAAACTGTCGAGCTGCTCAGTTCCAGGAAGTCCCTGTCCCCGCCGGGGCAGATGCCACAACCTGCGCGCTGTTCGCGGCGATCAATCAGACAAATTACCTCATCTTCGCCCAAGGGGAAAGATTGAGGGCACTAGAGGACGATCGAAGACCCCTGAGGAGGCACCGGAGGCCCCAGACTCCACCTCCTCGAGTAACGGAGGTACATTTCCCGTATCCCCCGCGGAGACACTAGAGAGATACCTCCCGAAGCCCGTCACCCCGACCCTCGGGGAGACGACCCCCTTTGGAGAGGCAACCCATCATTGAAGCCGGGGGACGCGGCCACGCCCCCACACGACAAGAAAGAAGACACTCCGGAGACGGGCATGGAAAAATCAACCAACGAGCACCATGCTCGGGAGATGCCCAGCACGAACAGGACCGTCGCGCTCGACAATATTACAGGTCCCCATCCCTCTCCCCGGAGCGAAGCGACGAGGACGACCTCCGCGGTCCCCTGTCACAAGCCATCATGGAGGCGCCCATTCCCCCGGGCATGGAGAAGCCTCCACATCTGAAGGAATACGACAGAGTCGCGGACCTGGTCGACCACATAGACGGATTCGAGGCTATGCTGCACTATCACAACATCGGGGGACCCATCAAATGCTAGTTGTTCCCCACGACCCTTAGAAAAGCAGCAATGGACTGGTATAAAGGCCTCGCTCCAGGATCAATCACCTCGTGGCGAAACCTAAAGAACCAATTCATAAGTTCTTTCACTGCGTCTCGGCGACACCCAAAGACCTAGGCGGCTCTCGAGGCTATCATCCAGAGACAGGATGAAACCTTAAGAGAGTTTATCAATCGCTTCAACCGCGAAGCTATACAGGTCCCCTGTGCGGACCACATGAAGAGATACTTGCTGGAGAGGGGGCTCCTCCCCGGCACGGAATTCAGAAAGGCCGTGGGCATCGAGCCGCCTAGAACGTTCGATGCCCTCCTCGAGAAGGCCCGAGCGTACATGGATTACGAGGAGAGGGAGGCGGCCAACAGAGCCCGAGATCCCAGGACTCGCGGGTCCAGCAGCAACCCGCGCCAAGAAGCTGCTCCTCCTCGATGAACCGGGGAGAAAAGAAAAGAAGACAGACCCCGAGAAGTCCGAGAGCAAAGAGGACCCTCGGGGCGTTTTACCGAGTACACTCCGCTCACAGCTTCCCGCGAGCGTATTTTGGCGGAGTGTGCCAGCACGAACTTCAAAGACGGCAGCGTCAAACGCCCCCGACCTGCTCCCGCCAAGCCCGAAGCAGACAAGAACAAGTATTGTCAGTACCATAGGAGCCATGGTTATTTGACTGAAGATTTCGTCCACCTCAAGGACGCCATCGAAACCCTCATAAAGGGAGGAAGGCTCGCACAATACCGGCGAAACGACGCTCCTCGTCGTGACGCCCGGGAAACAAGAGAACCGAAGGAAGACGCCCGACCATCTGACGAGTCGACCCCCGTCCAGACCGCCTCCTCCGTCACCAGACCCGAGGACTTCAACGTCCCCGAACACCTGCAGGAGCCGCTCACAACACACAGCAGGTGGGAATATTTCCCCTCTTCCATGGTCATCAATGGCGTAGGATTCAACGACTTGACTATCAATTCGGCTAAAAGGAAGCTAGATGAGCTGGTCGACGCGGCACCTCCGCAAACAGTGACATTTGAAAGGGTAAAAGGTAGGTCGGAACCCATCACCTTCTACCTGGAAGAGCTCCCCGGGGCAGCCCCCAACGCAGTCATCCCTTTACTGATAAGGGTGAGAATGGCCAACTTCGATGTGCATCGCATCCTCGTCGATGAAGGAAGTTCCGTCGATGTAATGTACATCCAATTGTTCCGAACTCTACAGCTGGACGACTCACATCTATCGCTGTATGTAGGGTCGGACTTACAAGGATTCAACGGCTCGACCTCCAAGCCTTAGGGATACGTCGAGCTCATGGTTACCTTCGGCGAAGGCACGTCGACAAGGCAGGTTAAAGTACGTTTCCTCGTCATCGACTGCCCGTCCCTCTATAACTGCATCCTGGGGAGACCAACACTGGCAGAACTGACAGTGGTGCCCTCCACCGTCCACCTAAAGATGAAGTTCTACACCAAGAGGGCACGGGTAGCTACCATCCAGGGCAACCTAGCCGCTGCTCGGAGGTGTTTCAACGCTGCGTCTAAGGGACGCGACACTGTCGACGTCGGGACAAGGCCCGCCAAAAGATCGGCGACGACACGACAGGAGCCTGACATGCCAGAGCTTGCCAATGAGGAAGCCCAGAAAGCCCCACCAAAGGTCGACTCTATAGCTCCGGATGCTCGCTTCGATCAGGATGAACCTCCCAACGGCGAGCAAATTCCCCTCCGACCAATACCGGACGGGGACTTTGAACTTGTCCCCCTCGGCGCAGACCCGAGCAAAGGAGTAAAGATTGGCATCGACCTCCCCGACCTGGCAAGGAAGCAAATCAAAGTCTGCTTGCGCGAGAATGCTGACCTGTTCGCCTGGAGCGCCACAGAGATGCCCGGACTCAACCCTGAGGTCGCCTGTCACCGTCTCGCCATAGATCCTACCGCTAAGGCCGTAGTACAACGTAGGCGTAGGCAGTCTCCGGAGAAAACAGTGGCTGCTGAAAAAGCTGTAAAAGACCTCCTAGAGGCAAATTTTATTTCTGAAGCCCGGTATTCAACCTGGCTGTCGAACGTTGTACTTGTTAAAAAGAATAATGGAAAATGGAGGATGTCTGTTGACTATACCGATCTCAACCGGGCTTTCCCGAAAGATGCTTTCCCTTTACCGAACATAGACATGTTGGTCGACAACTCGGCCGACTATAAAACATTGTTGTTCATGGATGCCTACTCGGGCTATAACCAAATCCCGATGGCCTTGGGCGACAAACATTGCACGACTTTCATGACCATCTCGGGCAATTATTACTACAACGTAATGCCCTTTGGACTAAAAAACGCCCGGGCAACTTACCAACGTATGATGAACAGGGTTTTCCACAAGCAGATTGGAGACATGCTCGAAGTCTACATGGACGACATGATCGTCAAATCTCGAGCAGAAACCGATCATGCAGCACACCTTAAGGCAGTCTTCGCCCAAGCAAGACAATGTAAGATGAGACTCAACCCCGAAAAATGCACGTTCGGGGTCAAAGCAGGGAAATTCCTCGGATTCTACCTAACAGAACGAGGAATTGAAGCCAACCCCGACAAATGTCGAGCATTCTCTGACCTCCCGACCCCGACGTCGAAGAAATCAATACAAGTCATGAACGGCATGCTCACATCATTGTCCCGCTTCGCCGCGAGGTCTGCTCAGCACGCCATCCCCTTCTTCAGACTCCTTCGCAAAGAAGCATCCTTCGAATGGACCGAGGAGTGCGAACGGGCACTGCGCCACCTAAAGAAAAGTTTATCTCAACCACCCGTGCTGTCTCGACCAGCCGACGGGGAGCCATTATTCCTATACTTGGTCGTCTCAAACGAAGCCGTCAGTGCGGCTCTCATCCGCGAAACCATCGACGGGAAGAAACCCTTTTACTTCACGAGAAAAGCCCTACAGGAACCCGAAAGCAGGTACCAACAGATAGAAAAGGTAGCTCTAGCCTTCGTCAATGCAGCGAGGAGACTCAGACACTATTTTCTGGCCCACACGGTCATCATGCGAACCGACCAACCAGTGAAACAGCTCTTAGGTCGACCGGACATGGCAGGCCGAATGCTGAAATGGTCCTTAGAGCTCTCCGAATTCGACATTCAATACGAGAGCAGGAAAGCTCTGAAAGCACAAGCCCTGGCCGACTTCGTCGCGGAAATGACCGCTCA